GCTTGCTTTACTGTCTAAATAGATAAAGCTCTTCCCACACAATTTAATATTTAAAGTGACGTGCTATCACATGACCTTCTCCGATTTTTTTGTTTTGTTTTTTTTTTTTTTGTTTTTTTGGTTTTTCTCCGGTACCGGGAACCGAACTCACGACCTTGCACTTGCCAGGCAGGCGCTTTTGCCGCTGAGCTAAATCCCCAGCCCCTCTCCCTATATATTGAAGATACGCTTCTTCATCACCTCATCGTCTCTGTCCCCTACTAGACTGTGAGCTCAGCACGCCTCTGATGCCCACTCCAGCTCCTAGAACCTGATGCATAATTGGTGCTCAATAAGTAAGTGTTGAATGAATGAATGTAAACCACGCACACGTTTCACTAATATAAAAATGATCTCCATGACGTCACTTCCAACACTGACGCCATCCGCCCTATGTGTTATGCCTAGCTTCTCGATGTCCATGCTTAATATCTGACTCTGTCTCCTGTCCCCTCTCTGGGTAAGTCAGTGTCCTGGGGTCACTTAGCCCCTCGGGACTATGGACTCTGGGGGCCGGGGCTGTCGTGCACATGCGCCTACGCTCCAGCTGGCTTGTCCCATAAGCCCGCGCTGCGCAAGCTGTCGGTACCAGAGTTAACCTCGGAGAAGGAGGAGGAAGGGCTCATTCTAGCGTCCCTCTGAACTGCCTCGTGTGGTGCTCCAGCTTCTCGGCCTCGGCCTGGAGGAGCCCCAAGGCAGCGGGGCTCGGGTACTTGAGCACCGCGTCCTTGGTGGCCAGCGCCAGGCCCTTGAGCAGCCCGCAGAGGTGGCTGCTGCTGCGGAGGATCTCATTGCGCACGTCTCTCTCCTGGGTCTCCTTGCACAGCGTGTCCACCAGCTTCTGGCCCACCGTGATCACCAGCTTACTCTGCGTGATGAAGACCTCGGGGGGCTGGTGGGTGCTGAGGCTGCTGTGAAACACGCGGATGGCTTTGAAGAGCGCCCCGAAGTAGAGCCGGCAGTGTTCCGAGAGGTGGACTTGCCTCTGGCGGCTCAGCTTGCTCGGAGGTTGGGTTAGAGAGCCCGGAGTCTAGAGAAAAGGAAGAACGAGCTAGGTAAGCAGGAGGCCAGTCAGCGAGCTCGGGTTGTCCTCCTTTTCCTGTTTCTGCTCAATTTGCAAGACTTTTTTTTTTTTAAATAAGAAAAACAGTTTCATTTGGGAAATCAGTGCTGCAATATTTGTCTGACAAATTGATGTGCTCAGAGCAATTGTTACCACCTCCCTAAGCCATGAGGAGCCCAGTCTAAGAAACATGTTGGCAATGACTAAACTTGTAACATTCAAAAGTGCAAGAAAAGTTGGGGATAGAGTATGTGCTCAGCATGTACAAGGCCCTGGGTTCAATCCCTAGTGAAAAAGAAAGGACCACTTGGGAGGCTGAGGCAGGAGGATCACTGAGAGTTCAAGACCAGCCTGAGCTACCTCAAGACCCTGCCTCAAAACAAAACAAAGCAAAGACAGAAAGAAAGGAAGGCACAAAGGAAGGGGGGAAGAAAAAAACTTAATGATGAGATTTTTTACAGTGACTCATAGAATAGATTTTAAACTGGGCGTGGTGGTGCATGTCTGTAATCCCAACATTTGAGAGGCTGAGGCAGGAGGATCAGCACAAGTTTCAGGCCAGCCTGGACTACATAGTGAGACCTTGTTTCAAAATAAATAAACAAATAAATAAATTTTAAAACTTTTACAAATTCCTTTTACTTCCAGTAGCAGAGGTACCCCTGAACTGCAGAAGTTTGTAGAAAAAATCAAATAGGCTGACTTACTGGTATCTGCCTTAATACTAAAATGCTTCTCTGCTACAAAGATTTCATCAAAATTTTACTTTCATGAATTTACTTTCTGGGAAATAGGATCACCCAGTGTGGTGGCACACTGCTGTAATCCCAGTACTCAGGAAGCTGAGGCAAGAGACCACTGTGGGTTTGAGACCAGCCTGGGCTATATAAGCGAGTTCAAGGCCAGCTTCAACTGCATTGTGAGGCCCTGTCTCAAAAAAAAAAAAGAAGAAGAAAAAGAAGAAAGTTTGCTTCGGAGCAGACATATGGCCTTATCCGAGTCACGGGGCCTCTCTGTGCTTTGCTTGTCCACCCTGCATGCCCCAAAGTCCGGATCGTGGAACGGATTCGCTGTCAGCCAAGTATCAGCCAATGAAGGACAACTTTCACCCCCATCACAAGCCATAACCTTCCTTCTCGCTCTCCTGACACCTGTGGCGCGCACTTTGTCTTTAAATAGACTCATTGTTTCCTTTCATTAATTCAGAGGAAACTTTAAAATTGATGAATGGAAGACTACGGTCATTTGCCACAAACAGGAGGCGATCAATAAGAACAAGCACAAGGATAACATCTTGGATTTAAAAAAAAAAGTAGATCAAATGTCAAAGAGGTGTTGGAGGTGTATAAACCCCAAACCCAAATGTTTTGGTTGTTGCCATTGTAACCAGAAGCATGAAAAGAAAGTGTCTCAGGGAATGTGACGCTGCCCTTTGGGGCCGTGGTGGCACCACCCACAGTGAACTTGGCAGAGCACCAGATCCTTTTGCTGATGGTCAGAGGTTCACACTCTACACACTGGGCTCCCTGGGGTTCCTTCCACTGCTAAAAAAGGAAATACCAAGCCTTCCCCGTGTGATCATGCTGTAATAGTGAGCTCTCCATAGCCCAAGGAGACAACTCTAGGGACAAAACGCATTCATCAGACATCAGAGAGTGGGTGTGATGGCTTACCGCTGGTCCTGAGTTTTTGTTTTCATCTGACTTTTGTTCCAAGGTTGACTTTTCTCTCTCTTCTACACCAGGTAACTTCTGTAAAATAAAATCCCTTTAAAGGACCAGACTAGGGTTTTTTTTACATTACTGTATCGTAGCAGAAAATGGCCCTCCAGCCAGTATACTTCAGTTTTTTAAATTCCTGTTGCAGTTCCGGTTGCTTCTGTCTCTTAGAAACAGCTGGTCGCTGGGATGCACATCTGGTTACTATGATTCACATTGTAAGAACCAATCAAAGACACCCAAGTACTCTGCCTGTGTACTTGCCCTTGCAGACCCCATAAAAACCTCCCTCCCTGGGCCTTCGGGGCCTGACATTTTGAGGAATGACTGATTCTTGGTCAGGGCCCAACTGATGTTAAATAAATCTGCCTCCAAATCCCGGGCGTCGTTTCGGTGTTTCTGTTCGCGGTTGCAGTACAACTGTTTAAGTTCTCTTTAAAACTTGTGTATCTTATATTTGTGTTCACTGTTCTGCCTAATGATGCCTGTTTTCAGCCAAAAGATTTTGGCAGCCCAAGAGCTGAATTTCGCAGCCCAAGGGCTGAGTTTTGTCTACCAACATGGCTTCATATAATGACCCACATAGCTTAAAGTTACACACATAGATAATGAAAATGAAAAACATGTCAAAGCTCTTACATCACCAGGCATTTTGATAGAACTCCAAGGCCAGGGCTGAAGGTTCCACACTGTCTCCTTGACATGACATAGCCCCCAAGTTGCCCTCAAGGCCCTAGAAGCTGGTAATTCCTGAACTCAAGCCTGCTTCTGTGAGGGGTGGAGGCAGCTGGCAAAGTATCCCCAAAAGTGACGGCGCTCTGGAGCACCCAAGAAGAGTGTTCATGCTCCTTTTCTGTTTCTAGGAAACATGCTGATGATGACTAAATTTATAACTTTCAAAAACACAGGGGAGGGGCTGGGGATTTAGCTCAGCGGCAAAAGCGCCTGCCTGGCAAGCGCAAGGTCGTGAGTTCGGTTCCCGGTACCGGAGAAAAACCAAAAAAAAAAAAAAAAAAAAAAAAACACAGGGGAACTTGGTAGTGAGATTTAAAAATCTACTCAACAACTAGATTTACTTTTTTGGGGGGGTACCGGGAATCAAACTCGGAACCTTATGCTTGCCAGGCAGGTGCTGTGCCATTGAGCTATATCTCCAGCTACTGAGCTATATCCCCGGCCTCTTAGATTTACCTTCCTGAGACAGGGTCGCAATAAAGTGTTCAGCCTGGCCTTGAACTGATGATTCTCCTGCTTCAGCTCCTTGGATGCTGGGATTACAGGTGTGTGCCAACTCTTCCAGCTTCAATGAATGAACTTCTAGAAGATTTCAAAACTCCTTGCTAATTCTAGCATCCCTGGGTAAACCTGAACCCCAAATATTTCTTCAGGAAATCCAAATATGCATGTGTTCCATCTGCTTAATATTAAAATAACTGTCTGACTTCTTAATAGGATCCATCCAGGAGGTACTTCCACGACAACTGATTGATCGGGAAATGGAAGCAGTTTTCCTGGATCTCCCTAGGGAAGACCTATAAACCACTGATAAAGGTTCTTGGCATTTCACTTAGCGATAACCGTGCTGGCTACTAGTGACCCCCCTTATCACACCACTTCAGACCCCAAACTCACCTGTTCACAGACAGTTGTTCTGTTTTTCAGTGCTAGATTAGGGGGGTGTTCATTTCCCCCTTGTTTATCAGAAGGAGCACTCCTTTGGTAGGATTCCATCTCTCTTTGGGGAAGCTGGACACATTGTGCACATTTAAATTTTGCATTTTGGGGCAATCGCACCGTGTCCTCTTTTTCACAGTTCTGCTTAAAAAGGAGCCTCCCGTTGGCAATGACAATGGAGACAAACCTCTTGACATCTTCTGGAACCGTCCGTGCGACCACAACAAACCTCTCAAGGTCATCTATGTTGTTTTGGACTCTGTCCATTGAAAGAGCTTTGAGGGACCAGTCGCAGCTGTCCAAGGATTCCTTCGCTTCCAGCAGGCTCTGGTAGGAGTTGGAGATCGTCTGTAGCTGATCCCGAATTTTAGCCTGAAGGTGACCGTCACTGAGGTTGTAGGCGGCCCCACTAACTCTTTGGGCAAAATCCAGGAATTGTCTCAATGATCCTTCTATGTGGTCTGCGGCCCTGTGGATCGCGTGGATGTTGGCCTCCAGGGAGTCCCTGAGCCTCCAGTTCCTGCTTACAAAGAGCAGCAGGCCTGCTGCAGAGCTGACCACCTTGTGCTGCAGGGCTATTGCCATGTCTTTGGCCAAGTCCACGTCCAGCCAGTGCTCCTTGGCTGATTCCTCCAAGGAGGAGCCAGAGCAGGAGTCAGTGGATGTAGAGGAACATGAAGAAATGACACTGGCCCTGCTGTTGGAGCTGGAAATGGACAATCTGTCCAGCTCTGGAGAGAGGGAGGGTGTCCGTCTTGAGATCAGGCAGGAGTCGAGGCCTGCAGAACTCTCCGGAGCCTCCTTGGCTTTTTCAAACTCTTTCTCAGCTGGAGGCTGGCTTGATATTGCTTTAGGGATGTCATAAATATTGGGCTTGGTGTTCTGCTGCTCTACGCGAGGGATCAGAAAGCTCAAAGGCACCTCGTAGCTGACACCTGCGTCCAAAGGGACAGTGTTCCCAGGCACTGGGAAGGTGTGGGAGGCGATTTCTGGGAGGCTGGGCTCTTTCTGTTCAGACACGTTGTTAGCAGGCTGTGGGCCCAGGGCCCTGCCTCTGCTGCTCAGGGGGCTGCGGGCAGCGGGGATGGAGTCAGGGACAGCGACTGGCTTCACTTCTTCTGTGAAGCTAGTTAGAGGCGCATTCCCGACGCTGGCCTTTCGCAGAGACACTGGGGTGTCATAAATCCATTCTGATTTCTGCAGGCTTGGCAATGTATTGTAGCCACCTCCTCTGAAGTCCAGCGTTGGTTTTAGGGGACCACTCTGCCCCTGTGAAAGAACCACACGAAGTTGCCCCAGAGTAGTAGGGATAAAAAGAAGGTTTGAGCTGAGCATGGGGTAAGCCTGTAATCCCAGCCCTCCGGGAGCCTGAGACAGGAGGACTGCAAGTTCAGGCCCAGCCTGGGCACCTTAGTAGCTTCGAGATGCCCTGTCTCTGCAGCTCAGTGTCAAGGCCCTGGGCTCAAACCCCAGTAAACGAAAAAGATCACTGAGTGCTTCATTAAAGTCTCTTGCTCCCCTGCTCCAGTCCTTTCATGGCCCCCCAGTGCTGTTATCACTCAAGGCCCCTCCCAGCATGTCCCCCCATAGTTTTGAGCCTCCTTTCTATCCACTTCCACCATCTCATCCCTGCCACCCTCTGGGCGCAGAATACTTACTTATCCCACTGTATTTGACTTTGCCTGAACTGGTCCTTTTGCCCTAATTGCTCTTCTAACACTTTCCTTTCCACCTAACCAGCTCCTATGCATCCGTCACAACCCTGACATGCCACCTCTCTTGTAAGGCTTCCCCCAGTAACCTTGGGCACAGGTGTAGCTATGGCATGTGTGGTAGAATCTAATTATGACTATGGATTATACAGATCGCAAGTGAGGTCTATATCCAAATCAAAGCATACTTTAACACACTATGCATCTCTGAGGCGTCTCAAGTAAGAAGCAAATTATCCGACTCTTGCTGAGTTCTTGTTCTGTGCCAGGCACTGTTCTGGGTGCTTTGCAGGGAATATCCCACTTCATATTCCCTCTGTGTCTGAAATAAGAAACTGAAGCATTCAAAGACTTATCAAACCACATAACTAATCCTGTTCATAAACACCAGCCAGGCATAGTGGTGCATCCCTGTAACCCCAGCACTGAGGAGGCTGAGGCAGGAGGACTGCCATGAGTTCAAGACCAACCTGGGCTCCGTAGTGAGTTCAAGGCCAGGCTGAACTCTATTGTGAGAGCCTGTCTCTAAATAAGTAAGTAAGTAAGTAAATACCAGTGCAGTTAGGGATTTTGCCTCAAATGTGAGACATCATCAAGAGGAATCTGCATTCCGAGTTTTGATTGAGTTCTATAGTTTGGACCTGAAATGTTCCTGAGAATTTCATATGCTGAAACCTTGGTCTCCAGCTTACAATACTATTAAGAGGTGATGGAATCATTAAGAGGTTCTAGCCAAATGAAGTGATGTCATCAGAGGTGCCCGAAGGGGATATTCAGACCCCAACCCTTGCCCTTTCTCTCTGCAAACTGGCCGCCATGAGGTGAATACTCTTGCTCCTCTGTGCACTCCCGCCATGATATCCTGCACTGCTGCCCAAAAGGAATGGGCCATCCTGCCATGGACTGACACATCGGAAACTATAAGCCACATAAACCCTTCCTCCTCATGAGCTTTCCGTCCCAGGCATGTGATCACAGTGATGGACAGCCAACGCATCAAGCTGATACAATTTCCCGGTGCACATTTAGTTTCCACAGTAGCACATCCTGGCATCTGCTCATACTCACGCTTGCTTGTTTGGCTGGGGGGTGGAAGGCTACCTTTTGTGGGGTGGTTGGTACATCGTATAACTTGTGCTTCTCTTGCTCCTAGGGAAGGACATAAAGGAGGATCACTCAGATTCTCCCTTCTTAATGGCTACCATCACAGACTCTCCACACTCCAGTGTTTTCTCCAAAGAAAGACACAGATCCCTGAACACGTCTGGGTTCTCAGTCAAGCTGCTCTTCCGGAGGAAGCCTCTGTGCTGCAGTGTGGGTGCATTCAACAAAGGACCTGGTGCTTTAAAAGAACTCCCGCTCCAAAGATGGGAGAAGCCATAGAGCCCTAAGTGCTGCTGTCTGTGTTACACTGACAGTTCATCTTAAGGGGGTTGTTGTTATTTTGTCATTGTTTCATTTTTCCTCCTTAAAAAAACAAAACAAAACAAAACAAAAACATGGGTGTGGTGGCACACTCCCATAATCCCAGCACTCAGGAGGCTGAGGCAGGAAGATCGTTGTGAGTTCAAGACCAGCCTGGGCTATAAAGTGAGCTCAAGGCCAGCCTGAACTGCATAGCGAGATCTTGTCTCAAAAAAGACAAATAAATAAATAAATGAATAAATAAAGCTGGAAGGAAAAACAGCCTTGGCTTCTCATGTCTGTCCCTTTTCATTTATTTTTCTCAGAAATTCTCCTGTTTACCGCTCATGTATTCATCCTCAAAATGTTTATCGAGTGCCTACGACCTACCAAGCACTAAGCCAAATGACACTGTACGCATACAGTACTAAAAGCAATGAGAAGAGGCTTTGGGTGACTTTTTAGACTCAGAACTCGAATTTGCAGTGGAGGAAGTAGAGTGCAGAGCTGGGCCTGGTGGTGTGGCCCGTCATCCCAGCACTCTGGGAGGGAGAGGCAGGAGGATTGCAAGTCCCAGTCTAACCCAGACAGTTTAGCAACTTAGTGTGACCCTGTCTCAAAACAGAAGTAAAAGGGGTTGGGGATGTAGTCCAGTGGGAAAGCCATGGGTTCAATCTGTGGCACTGTTTAAAAAAAAAAGTCAAGATTTTTTTTTCTTTTGAGGGCGTGGGGACAGGGTCTCACTATGTAGCCCAGGCTGACCTCAAACTCATGGTGATCTTCCTGCCTCAGCCTGCTGAGTGCTGGGACTACAAGGTATGTCATAGTGCTCTGAGCTCCACCCATGAGGAGGCTGTGCATCTGGTGTCTTAGTGGTGGCGTCTCTGTGGTGAGAGCAGACTGGGGGGAGCCCCTGAAGAGCTCCTCAGGAAGCTGAAATGTGACGTCCGTATGAGACCCCCATCCCCAGGTTCCATGGCTCAGAGGACAGGCATCAGGGGGCAGCGTGGCTGGATGAAGCTTACCTTAAGGGCCAAGGAGGGCCGGCTGTGGGTGGGCACATCATACACTTGGGAAGGCAAGGCTGGCAACGAGGCCCTGGAAGGCCTGGGGAGCACGAAGAGGGCCTTGGAGAGAAAGAGAAGGAACAAAGGGAAGAGACAGCGTCATGAAATCATCCCAATCACCGTTCGAATGATCTCTCCAACCCAAAGACAGCTTGGATGCTGGCCAGGGTTTGCCTGGCACTGCTGGCGGGCAGATCCTTCATGCTGGAGCTTGGGCATAGCTGGCCGGGAGGCCCCATGGTTGGGGGCAGCTTTCACCCTAGCTGCATGCCTCTGCAGCTGGGAAGCAGGTGAAGATTCTTTGGCCCTGCATCTGGCGAACCTCTGAGCTCAGCAGGGGCCCAAGAAGCGGCCATGGAAACGAGCTTGCTTGGTGATTGTGAGGCTCTCCGGGGACCAGGAGGCTTGACTCCCACACTGGGTCATTCGTGTATTCATCCAGTGACGCTGAGGCTGCGGCCGCCAACCTCGCAGGCAGAGCGGGCTGCCAGAGTGCACTTGGAGAGGCTCAGGGGCCTGGGGGACCAGGCCCACGGATGTGCCACTCGGGGAGTCAGAGGTGACCAGAGGAATCGTGGTGACAGCTCTTGCTGTCATGAGTGGGAGGCGAGGAGACCTTGGTGACGAGTGGTTGAAAGGAAAGAAAGCCTGCCTGACAAGCGCAAGGTCATGAGTTCGGTTCCCGGTACCGGAGAAAAACCACAAAAAAAAAAAAAAAAAAAAAAAAAAAGAAAGGAAAGAAAGGCGCAAGCAAGGGGAGGAGGGAGCGGCGAAGTGGGGAACGTCTGCGAAGGGGTGGGGAGTCACCCAGACACCAGGAGCGCTTGCACAGTTACTGCTTATGCTTTTGCCATGGAGTTTGGGGTTCTAGACAATCCTTTAGAGCTCACTGCTGACAGCTCTAAGCCGGGGACCACTCTGCGTGCTACAGGGTGGAGGCTCCCACTCTGGATTAGAGATCCGAATTCTCTGGTGAACTACAAAATCATGCAGGTCCTACTTCAGACCTCTTGAATCAGGTCCTCTCTGGGAAAGGGTGGGTTTTTTTTTATAGGGTAGTGACAGGGGCTTACAGTCTAAGGGGAAGGGAAGTGGAATTTGGGTACCTCTAAGATGCAGGCTGGGACTCAAGACGGGGATGGAAAGAGGAAAAGCTGAAGTTCCTGAGAGCCTAGGAAAGGAAGATGTTCCTCCCGCCTGGCACCCAGGGGGCCTGTCACTGAGCATGGGCTTGCCCAGCTGGAGCAGGAGGGTGGTCAGGATTCACAGGAAGACAAGGCCAGGGTCTCTGTTCATGATGGGGTCCCCAGGACCTCACGTTGGGACGCAAATGTTAAGTGCTGGTGTTTGTTTGTCCATTTTGGGGGAATGAACGCGTCCATCTTGTGACAGTAAAAACTAGTTTGAGATACAAAAACCTGCTTGGCTGTTCACCAGGCTGGAATCACAGGTGCAGGGAAAGCAGCTGCAAAGCCCACAGGACACACATTCCTCCTGAGGACGTGATGCAACTGTCAGGTGTCAAAACAGACCCCTTCTTGGAGTCTACAAAGAAACAGGCTTCTCTACAACCCAGGGCTCTGGGAAGCGCTGCTCCCTAAAGTCCTGGCATTGGGCAGGTGACATCCCACTCTGCCTGGAGGGCCTAAGTCATGGACACGGGGAGCGGAATCCTCCAGGCAGAGCTTCTGGTAAGGGGGAGGCAGGCCCAGCATTCTACCTGTCTCTGCTGCGTGGTTCCCAAGAGAAGACCTGGCAGCCCAGGCTGATGCTGACCCCTTTGAGCCTATGCTGGTGCACTTTCCAGCACATCTCACTTGAATCCTACCATCCCCCAGTTCCATAAGTAGGCAGCCTTTGCCTTTTTGTGACATGTTTCAGGGCTCTCTGCCCTGCCATCCTCCTCCTCCCAAGCCTTGACCCTGACTCTATCCCTGGTAGTGTCAGGTTGTTGGTCCGGCACAGATCAGCAGTGGTTCCCACTGGATTTTTAATTAAATCCAAGCTGCTTAACAAGCCTGAGGAGTTATGCGCCATCCAGGCCTAGGAGCCAGGCAAGAGCATCCTTACCCATGGGCCATCCCCTCCGGTCCCCTCCCTCCAGGCTCCACTTATCCCAACACAGCCAGTGCTCTCACCGAAGACCCTGTCCAATGGTGCCCCCTTCCTGCCTCTCCCCCGGGACTCAGGCCCATGCTGTTCACGTGGCCGGGTTCGGGCCCTCACATGGTAGCAGACACCGCCAGAGGGCCAAGGGACTTTCCTGAACTGACATATCAGGTGGAAAGAGGCCACTTTAAAAATTCCCAGCTTCTTGGAAAATGTAGGTTCCAGGCATGAATGGATTAAGGAACATGTCTGAGAAATGCGGTTTTGAAAGGTTTAGGGAGACAGAAGAAATGCTGGCTTAGGAACTAGTGGTGCCAATGGCGACCATACCAGGAACACTACTAGCTCTTCACACTTGAAATGCCAGGGTCCCTGCTTAGAATTTAACCCAGAATCCAGCATGTGCTTTATGTGCTCTACTTTCTTTTAAATCAGGCCCACACAGTATATTAAGGAAGTAGAAATAAAAGTAAAACAAAGCTTCCCCAGGGGCGGGGGGGGGGGAAGTAGCAGGGAGGAGGCACAAGGCGTGGGGTGTGAGTGGGGGCTGGTTTTATTTATTTTTTATTTGTGGTGCCAGGGCTTCCATGTTCTAGGCAAGCGCTCTACCACTCAGCTACATCCCCAACTTGTTCCTTTTTCTGACTGATACCAGTGGCTGAGCTGGACCCTGAGGATCTGAAGGTGAGAGTTCAACCAAAAACTCAATGGAAAGAATAGCTTAAGCCACAGCAAAGTGAAAGGAGGTGAGGGGCGACCCCAGGGAGGTGAGGGCTCTGTCTTTGGGGAAGACAGATGGATGGACACAGATGTGAGCTGGAAGTTTTCATCCCAGCTCTGTAGCCCTTGTAGCATGAGCCTGGATGGGCAGTTTTGCACCCCAGGATCAGTTTCCCCACTTGAAAAATAGAAAATTGCTCTAATAGGTTTGCAAAGGTCATTTCTAGCTCTAGTGACATCTGACACATAGACGCCTCTCTTAGGACAATGTGAGAAAAGCCACATGTTCCCACTATCTTGGTATTTAATTTGGAGCCACTTCGAATCTAGAGATGATCAAGTATAAAAGCAGGTTGTGCAAGGAGACTCTGCTGGGTTGGAAAGCGGCTTGAAGCCAGTAGCTGGGACTTCCCTGGTTCTACCGATGATCATGGGTGCTTGGGCAGTATTTCCTAGGCAGTGTCAGACTCGGCATTAAATGTTGGCTCACCTGAGCAGGTAGGAGATGCCTGCCTTTCCTGTGGCCAGGATGTTCTCAGCTGATGATTAACTAGTCTACTGCATCTAGCTCTCTCTTTCTTAATGCTGAGGAAGATGTGAAGTTATTTAGAATCACCCTGAGGGACAAGTGGAGATGATCTTAGAAATGATAGGTCCAACCTCCCAACAGAGAGGAGGAAAGAAATACACGAGGGTGTTAAGATGTTCCTTTCCAATGCTCCAGAGTGACGGTGGCTTATTCCAAAAGCCAAGGAAACCAGGACTTTGGATTCTCAATGGAAGAGAAAACAGAGAGAGAGAGAGAGAGAGACAGAGACAGAGAGAGAGAGAAGGAAGGAAGGAAGGAAGGAAGGAAGGAAGGAAGGAAGGAAGAGAAAAAAGGGCAAAAATGTAGCTTGGGCAGACAAAGAGGTAACCTTAAAAAGAAAAACAAGGCGGGGAAGTTTCTCAGGGGTTTTCCCATGCCCCCCTCAGCACCCTGCTCAGTGACCAGGGGCCCTGGATTCCCCTCTGAAGCAGTGCTTCCTCTTGGCTGCCGCAAGGGCCCAAGTGAGGAGTCCCAGGGCTGCAGTGCTTTGTGTCCCAGCAGACGCCCTGCAGTCTCCCTCCTTATGTTCAGAGGTGGACCCACCCTTCCCTTCACCCAGCCAGCAGCTGGTGTTGGAGTCCGACTTTCCGAAGCCTGGGTCAGCTTGGCTCACTTCATTCACTCAACCAAATTTTACCCAGCACCCCCAGAGCCCAGTACTGTGCTAAGTGCTGGGGAGGCCTGGCAGACACCACATCCATTTTCCCTTTTGGGAAAGGGGGAAATGGCCACTGATTTTCAGTTAGCTTCAGCTAGTATCAGCTGTTCTTAGAAGAAACACAAGTCCCTGCACAAAGGCAGCTGCTCAGACAGCGGCTGGCACACCAGCTGGAGAGCAGGCCAGTTATTTAAGAGGAGCAAGGTGGGGTCCACCCTGTGCGCTGCTTCTCAAGGCTCAGCCAGCTTCCTTTTGGGGCCTGGAGCCACCGCCTGCATGTGGCAGCTGTGCTGTGCAACAGCAGACTCTCAGCCCGGGGAGCTAGAAAACTGGAACAGTTTAAATCTTTTTGAAGGAATCAACACCTTCCAGCTGCTACGGAGACTTGAGTGGTGAGCAGCTCATTCCTGAGGCCCCCGCTGCATGGATGAGGTGCGATCGAAAAAGAGGATGAATGTTTACATTTTGAAAAATGTGTTGCAATGAAAGACACGTCGACATGAATCCCTCTCAAAATCCTCCCCTCACTTCAAACACACTGATCCCATCGTTCTTGCCACATTCTGAAGCAGCTGCAGAAGTCCTCCTTTGTGAGAGTGTCTTCTGTTGCATTGTTGTGGCCGCCTCGATATTCAGAATGGATTCAAAATGTTTACCTTTCACAGTCATTTTGAGGGTCAGGAAGAGCCGGAAGGAGCATGGCACCACATCCGGTAAATAGGCGCCACATCCGGTAAATAGGCGCCACATCCGGTCAATATGGCGGATAAGGACGCTGTGCGTGCTGTCCTCATAGCCTGCTTTCCATGGAAAGGCGCGAAGCAGCAGTCCCCGTATTTTTGATCGTACTTTGTAAAGATAGGAAAGAGGACTTCCAGAACTGCTCCAGAAAGTGGCAAGAATGATGGGATAAGGGTCTTTGAAGTGAGAGGGAGTATTTTGAGGGGATGGATGGCAGTGCATTTTTTACTGCAATGAATTTTTAAACATTTAAATATTCACTGTAGTTTTGAAATCACACCTCATACACTGAGGCAGCAGCCGTCCCCTGGACACAAAGCCCGCCACCGAAACCCCTGCCAGGGCCCTGGCCAGCTGGGCTGTGTCACTCAGCTGAAAGCACAGCCTGCCATGGCGGAAATGCCCGCAGGATCTGAGTCCTGCTGCTCTGCTTCCCCACACCTGGCAAACGCCAAGGCTCAGGGAGAGCAATGTGTTATTTTTCTCCTTTTAATTCTTTTCCTTATTTTTATAAAAAAGCTTTCATTCTACCTTTACTGAGAACTTTTTTCTGTTTTTTTTTTTTTAAACTGATATTATAAAAATTACAGATTTCATACCGTTCCGTGGAACACAGAAATCATTCCTAATTTATCTGTCCAGGACATATTTTTCGAGCACGTACTTTGTATGAGGCTTGGTACCAGTGCTAGGGCAAGGGTGAGAATAAAGCAAAAGCTCCTGCTGCCCGCCCCCTTTCACTTTCTCCTTAGCCTAAGTTGCTTCCTAGGCAGCCACACCTGGTGCGGGTTCTTCCAGCCCTTCCTGTGTGAGACCATGCACATGTCCATGCACACAGTGGTCTTTGAAGTTTTGGTCTTTGGTTTGGTGGCTCTTTCTTTCCCCTTATAAATACTTCATCTTTTCTTTAACAATTGCATAGTAGCTCACTGTGGTGATCACCATTTGTGGAGCTACCCCACCCTTGACACACTCACACACTCTCTCTCTCACACACACACACACACACACACACTGGTTCTCACTCGCAGATCTACTCAGCCTTCACCGGGCCGCCCCATGGGGCCAGTCTGGCAGGGCAGGGCAGGCACAGATGTGCCAAAGAGTAAGGGCTGAGCACACAAGCGCCGCACCATGGCCACGCATCATCAGGGTTCGCACTACATGCGAGATCTGCAGGCAGCATAGGAGTGTTTCTGTACCCTGAACCCTCTCTTTTTCTTTTCCCTTTTTGGGGGTGCACTTACCTGCTTTGGGAAGGTCAGCGTCTTCTCACAGACAATTCTGGCTCGAGAAGGCGGATCAGGGAGCTCGTAGACTTGGGTGGTGGGTGGCGGGGACTGCTCCACCCAGCTCTTCATGGGCTCGTATATGGGCCCTGGGGGTGAGGAGTGCAGCGGTGTGGGCACCTGATAGGTCTCCTCCGAGCTGGTGGGGGGACGGCTGAGAGGGGGACAGAGTGTGTCTGCAGGGGCCTCCGTGAGGATCTGGAGGCGGTTGGCTGGGGCCAGGCCTCGCCTGCCGTGGAGCAGACATGTCCACCAGCCCTCGCTTTCAGGCACATTTTGCTCCAGAATGGTCAGGATGTCGCCTCTGGAGAAGGCCAGCTCGTCGGAACAGTCTGGGTGGTTGTTGTACAGCGCTCTGGCCAGGAGGGTCTGGGGGTGGGAGAAGAGACTTTACTGGATTGCGTTGTCCGTGGCCCACTACCCCAGCACCACCTTGAACCCCGGTGCACCCACGGTGCTGTCTCCTTTCTCCCCTGCCCTCGGCCCCTCCTCCATTCCTTCCCATCCTGGGGGCCACATCTTCAGGGAGGGTTTATTTGTGCACTATGACCAGGTCAAGCAGCCCTTATATGCTGCTGTGGACCTTTTTAAATTGTGGAAGCCATGACCCTCCTAGTTATTCAGTTGAGGACAGCATAGCACAGTCGAGTTGAAATCTGAAGTTGTAGCACATTATTGGGTTGAGATATTAACTACCCTCAAACACATCACCCACTTACTGAGCCTCGGTTTCCTCATCTGTAAAATGGGAACAATAGTAATATTTCATGGAGTTATTATGAGAATTAAA